GTGGTGGGGAAAGGTAGACAGTGGCATCCAGAGCATGAGCCCCAGGGAAGAACTGAGTTCTGACAGATTTGAGGGTGAAGGGCACAGGACTTGGAATCACATGGACATAGCTTAAAATCCAAGCTCCTTTCCTTCCACAAGCACCTGTTAACATCTATTCACCAGGAGGCCACCCTCCCCCACGGAGACGCCTTCCCTCCTTCTCTCCATCTCAGTGACCCTGGCTCCTCAACTCTCCAGTCTCCGTCTTTCTGTTGACACTTATCACACACGCTTCTCTGAAGGTTAAATCAATGATGAGATGAAGTCCCGCCTTATCTCAGTTCCCTGACTCTGCCTAGACTCCCCACCTCCTCACTCCCCTGGAACCCCCAAGCCCCAGCAGCAACACAGACTCCTTTCCAGGCCTTCTACCCCCAATCTGGAGGTCTTCTCACTCCTCACTACTCCGCCTCAGACCTCTCTCACCACCCTAAGGGCCAGGCATTCTTCCTCCATGCCTAATTCCATCCCTACCTCTGTTCCCAAGGCCAAGTCAGGGCCCTTTTTCCTTCAGCTCCTGTGTTTCAGCTTCAGAACCTACTTGGCCTCTGGTCCCAGGATCACTCAGACTACAGATAAAACATCTCCCCACGGTGAGTTCTGTCCCTTCCCAGGAGGACACCCTCAGATTCCCCTTGTAGACCCTGGGCAGGCCATTTGGACCCACTGAACTTTTTGTCCCCTCTTCTCCTCTGGTTTTCTAGAATCCCCAGATTTCTTTGCCTAGACCAGACAGGGGTCACTTGCCTCAGGTCCAGGAGCCCTAAGAAGGCCCTCAGTACACTTTTGGGTTTATAGGAACACACACACGTTTTATAGGAAAAGGCTCCATAGCTAGAGGGTTCCCTGACCCCAGGAAGCTTGAGATTCACCGCCTGGAAGCCCCAATTCCTGCTTCCACCCCACTCATGACAGACAGCTCAGGTTCAAAGCTTTGTGACTCAGTGTGAATTTTGCCCTTTCAAAGCCCACTTGACAAGATTCCTCCTGTCTGGCCTGACATCTATATGAATTTCAGGGAACGGGGGCTTTGCTACTTAAATCATTTCAACACCACAGACTTTGGGTCCCTTCCCCCGGCCCAGGCCTCAGCACAAAGCATGGCCTTGTTGTTCCACCAGGGACTTAGTGTGCAAACCACGAGCAGCCTCCGTCCTTCCCACCATATCTCCTCCAAAAGAGAGCCTTCTGGGGTGTGGCCTGCAAGGCCCTGGGGGGCTCCTTGTGAGGACAGGATTCTCTACACAATGCATGCTGCACCGATGCTGTGACCATTAGAAGTTAGAGGGCCTTTGGTTACAACAGGTGGAACTGGGAACCCTGCTAAAAGCGGGAATCCCATAGAATTCTGGAGTTAACATTTTAAAGAGATCCCAAGAGACCATTTGATTCAGCCAATCATTAAAAAAGCCACATCAGTAGCACCTTCACTGTACCCAACACTGGAGATAGACAGACAAGATGCAGCCCCCTGGGATAGTATTAGTGTGATTCCCACTTTACAGAAAATGCAACTGACGCCAGAGGAGTTAACGGCTTGTCTCACGTCAAATAGTTGGTAAGTAAAGGAGAGGAACAGGTAAGAGCCAAGAGCCCCATCTTCTTAGGTTGGTTCAAGAGTTCACAACACATGCCCCGTCCAGTGTGACTCCATCAGCCAGCCTCTGCCTGCCCCTCTAGATGTGGCGAGTGACTGGGAAGGTTCCTCAGAGTGGGCAGATGCTGGAGTGATCAGGTCTCTGTTCTGCCTGAGGCACATAGAGCGCTCCTGGCAGAGGAGGGTGGGAGAGAAGCTGGGAAGCCACAGCCTGTGCATGCAAATGAGGCAACTGCATAATTAATCAACATCAAACAGTTTCATTAAGAGATGGAGCTTTGCGGCTGTTTGTCTCGGAAAAAAAAAAGAAAAAACTGAAAGAGCAGGAAGGGGATGAGAGAAGGGGAGGTTCAGGCTATTCCAGCCCAACGCCAAAGCTGATGATTCTGCCGCTGAGGGAGGCCGAGGATCTGGGGGTGGTGGCAAGATCTGTTGGGAGAGGAGACTGACGGATCCAGGATGGCTTCAGCCCCCAAATCTTAGACTCAGGCTCCCTGGATAATCTTATCCCTCATGGACAGGGCTGGTGCCCCTCAACTGTTGGCCCACTAAGAGCGGCAGGAGCCACCTCCACCCAGGACTCGCAGGAGCGAGGTTTGGAGAAGGAAGGTGGGCATTGCCAGGCTGCACTCAGGGACCCATCCCAGAGCAGCAGTATGAGGTGCTTGCTGGAAACAGAGATTCCCAGCTTCTGAGCAGGGGCTTCCCCAGGGAGGGAGGAGATGCCTTATACACACCCAGACCCTCAGTGCTCAAAGTCCCCAAAATGGTCTCAGAGCACTGTAGGACAGAGAGAAGCCACTTGGAGAAAACAAACCAGCGACCTATTTATCCCTAAATCTCCAGCTCCCCCCAGTCCACACTCCACACCTCTTCTTTTACTCTAAAATGGAAAGAGGAGGGCAGGGCCATGGGGAGCTCCTTGCCAAGCCTTCTGGGAGCTCGTGCCACAAGGCTGGAGTCTCCCTAGGCACCCAGCAGTGGAATGTGCTCCCCAGTTGCCCGGGCTAAGTTCCAAAGGGCCAGGGAGGTCACCTCTCAAAAGAAATACTACCAACTCTTGATGATCTGGCTGTACTTCTCTTTCCAGCCACCGTCTCATCCCTACAGTCATCCTGTGTTCCATCCACATCAAAGCACCTTCCATTCCCCCAGCACCAGGGACTCTCACACTTCCATGCTGTTCCTTCTGCTGGAATGGCCTTCCTACTTTCTGTATTAGCTGCCTACTGGACTCCTCCTTAGCCACGATGCCCAGTTCAAATATCCCCTACTCTGTAAAGCGTTCCCTGACTGTCATACCCTACAAGGTTAGGTATTTTCTTCTCTGTGTTCTGCATAATTTGTGTTGTAATTGTTTGTTTACTTGACAGACTCTGGCCATGAAACAACGAGCTCCTTGAGGACAGGGACCATATCTTTCATCATCCCTAAGACCTGGACTATACTTTAAAAGTTTGTCAATTGAATAAATCTTTTGAACTGAAGAAGATCACAGATACTCACCTCATCCAGATGCCTGGCTCTTGACAAATGTCTAACCCATCCAGAACAAGTTTACTCTCTTCCTGAATATACCTCAAATCACTGCGATTGGGAAGGGTTGGGAGTGGGAGAGGGGACCCTCACTTACCAGGCTGGGTTTCCAGGATCATGAGCCCAAAGACAAGCAACAGTTCCTAACAGGTAGACGCGTCAGGCTGAGCACTGGACCACAGGAAAGGGCCAGTGTGCAGGGCCAGAGCCCACAGAGCTCGCTTCCTAAGCTGGGTGATGCCATGTGACACGGGGTGTTGTCTGGGAATGCAGTGGGGCGGAAGTGGTTCCAGTGCCTCTGGACTTCCATGGCCATGGGCCCATCAGAGAGCCCTCTACCCATCAAGAGCTTCTCCTACAGGCCTAGACCTCTGGCCGGGAACCACGGAGGACCAAACGGCTGCAGCTCTGCCCATGCACCCAGGTCCTCTTACCCTCTCTTCTGCCTGCCCCTGTCCCCTTTCCTCCAAACCTGTTGACTCCTTGTGACTTAAGTCTTCCCTGAGATGGCCAGAAGGGAGAGGATCCATTTTAAATTAACAAGGTTATTAGCAGTTAATTACCTGAGGTATCATTGTAATTGAAAAGAAAAAGAGAGAAAAGAGGCTCATAAACATTTCCAGTCACCTGTTCCCTTCACCATCCCTGTGGGGAGGGCGACAAGGTGGGGAGAGGTGCACGGGCCCCTCCCCGCCACAGGCCCTGCTCAGACCCTTGGCTTTTCTTTTTCTCAGTATTTTTCCACGTGCACCCATCCATGCTCACAGGGATATTTTGCAGGGAACCCAAACCCAAGGAGAGTAAGCTGCCCGCCCCACAGACACTTCAGAGATGCTGAGAAATGCTCGGCAAACACCATAAAGATGCAGAGAGATTTATTTTATATTGGGGGTGTGCAGGAAGGAGGCACAAATCTGAGGCCTCAAGTCAATATTTTTAGTGATTTTTATCTTGGATTGTCCTCAGTTATTCTACAATTAAGCATGGCCAGCATATGTCAGCATTATTGATTTTTAGTCCCAGATTCACTGCCATCAGAGATGCTACTGTGGTCGGGATCATCGCCCTTTCCTCCTCCTTGCCTCCACCCACCCCTGCCAGGGCAAAAGACTGCAGGGAGGGGTGCGGCACAGAGAGGATACAGAGGAAAAAGCTCCTCCCTCAGGCTGGCCATGCTAACCGCAGCACCTGCCAACTAGATCCTGAAGCGAGGATGCCATGCCCCAAAGGTTTTTATCAGAGAGGCCATCTCTGCAGAAAACTCGCCAGGAGGACATCCTATCCCTGACACTTCCCAGAAGGAGCCCCAGACCCAGAGATTCGATGAAGCACCTGCCTATGGGGCCCCAACCATCACAAGTCTCCCATTCTCACGGAATTGTTCCCTGTTTAGGGTAAAACAATAGGAGGAGCTAACCTGAAAAAGCCAAACATTCCTCTACCCCTCAAAACATCTCCCCCAGAGGCAAGCAGCAGGTGCAAATGGCCTGCACTCCCTGGCCAGGGTCTTAGCAGAGGCACTGCTGGCTCTCCCACGTGGAGGGCAGGGGTGGGTGCTGACAGGACGGATGGGTGAGCCTCAGCAGGAAGGCAGCCTCCCACTGCTTCAGGCCTCTGCTGCGCTGAGACGCCCTGGGACTCCTGGTAGACCCCCAGCCACCACCCCCCCCCCCCCGCCTCCCTGCCCTAGGCTAAGTCCTCTCCCCTCTGTACCTGACTTTCCTGAGCAGCATTCAGCCCCCCGAGTAGCCAGAGTGGTCAGAAGCAGACCCCTCACTTCCCACCCAACCTTCTCAAGGCAACAACAAAGAGCAAAGCAGGGGAAGGGCGGAGCTCATAGAAAGCCCATACATAACCATGTGTGTGTGTAGGTATGATTGTGTAAAGTACAACATACATACGGAAAAGTGCATATATCATTAGGTTTTTTAAAATTGAGCATTTACTATATGACAGGTAAGTTTAACATTATAAGCCACATTTTATGAATGGAGAAATTGGGATTCAGAGATCCTAAGCAATATGTCCAAGGTCACACAGCTAGTATGTGATGGAGAGGGATATGAACCCAGGCAGTCTGTCTCTAAACTACCTAAACCCTAAAACCTCTATTACATGCCTTTCAATGGTGTCTGCCACGGCGGGGCAGGGTGGGAAGGAGGTGGTTGAGGAGCCAAGGTGTGTTAAAACTTTCCTCTCTCTCCCCATCCTGCCTAGGGAGACTGCTGCCCAACACAGGACCAGAGTCCTTCCTCCTGGTTTCCCCAGCTGGGAGCAGGGGATCAGAGCCCTTGGTGGGGGAAGCCAACCCACCTGCACTCCCCCAACCAGTGCCCTCCCTCTGGCTCTCTGCCCTCTCTGCCCTCCTACCACTCTCCCCACGGCAGAGGGACCCTGGGTCAGGGAGGGAAAGGCCCAGGCTAGTTTCCCCACCTGCAGGGCTGCTCTCAGCCCCGCTCCTGCTGAGTCTGCACTGTTCAAAGTCACCTTGCGAGTGTCTCGCATGCCAGGGAAGGCAGCCAGTGGGAGAGAAGCAGATGGGCGGTTGACATGGGCAGCATGGAGGGAACATCTACAGCTATCAAGAGGGAGGGGGCCAGGGGAGGTGATGTACAACCTGGAACCTGGAACCTGGAGTTTGGGGCTACGATCTGGGCTGAGGGCCTGCCCAGGGGTGAGCCTAGAACCTTTGGCTGACTCTGGAACTGGGTTCATGTGGCCGGTCTGTGGGTCTGGTGAGCCACTGGATGTAAACTCTGGAACCTGAATGGGAGTGTGAAACTGGAGGGGGTAGATCCGACACCTGCAGCCACCTGAGAGCCACGACGTTCCCAGGAACCAGAGCTTCACTCCAAAGAAAGCTTAATCAGTCCTAACCCCTTTCCTTTCTTTCCCGGGAACCAAGAAAACAAAGCAGGGAGGGAAGGAAGGAACCCAGAGCCCACTGCCCCACCCTACGTGTCTCTGGCCCCTGGGATTTGCCTTCTCTGCTTCTCTGCAGGCTCTGGACAGGCAGGGGTGTAGGGGGAGCCGACAGAGCTGCCTTCAGATCTCCCCTGCCACTTACTGACTCTGGGAAAAATCACTTCACTTCTCCGGTTAACATTCTCTATAACATGGGGATACCACCCACCTTGTGTTTTATCACACAGACAAAATGCCCAAGACACAGTTAGCTTTCACTCCCCTTCCCTCCCCCGACTTCCCACTGGAGAACCTCTCTCCTTCCTTGGGGGCAGGGCCCAGGAAGTAGAGACAAGCAGACCCTCCTCCAGGCACCATCCCTAGCTGGCACTGGCAGGGGGGCACTTGCGAATTGAGGGAATCTATTGGAAATTCTGCAGAAACAGTGGGATGTTGGAGCTATGTGCTGGCGCATTGTTGGGAACAGGCTGAAACACTCTTAGGGGAACACCAGTGCTCTTGGATACACACTGAGATAACACTACAAGTCTACTGTGGGGTATCTGGAGCAACTCGGGCGCTACTAGAGTGTTCCTGGGATTCTGACCACCAGTGCTGGGGGCCTTACAGGGATTCCACTGGAGAGACCCTGGGGCACAAGGAGAATGACGGGAGTTGCTGGAGACATCCTGGAAGGTTACTGGGACACTTTCTGAGGTGTCACTGGGAGCAAAAGCACACTGCTGGGCATTCAGCACCCAAGGGTTGCAGAGGGCAGAATGCCAATTGGGGCCTTGTGGGAGTCCTAGGGGCTTCCTGTGGGGCACTCATGGGTTCCACTAGCTGCTGCACTCTAGGCTGCTCTTCTCTTGATGAAGAGCACAGGTGGGTACGGGTGCAGCCTGCGTGGGGGAACAGAAGCAGGGCCACACTGCCCTGGAAGAGGGGGTAAGCATCTGGCCTTTTGATTGGGCAGCAACCACCAATCTGTGCTTCCTAGCTGTGGTGGCAGCTGCAGGAGAGTGTGCAGCCTACTGTGGAAAACCACCCCTGAAGTGGGGAGCAGCTCCACCTGACTCCTGGGAGTCCTGCCTGGGGTCAGCCCCCCAAACTCAGGCCCAGCCCTACCTCCACCCCCAGGGGGACAGGATACCTGGGGACTGGGAGGCTGGACAGTTGGCAGGAAGGGCCCTCTCAGGGCTGAAGCAGTAAGACTCAGTAGGGGCCTCATCCACAACAAAGCCCCTCTGTGTAGCCCTGGAGCTCGAGCACAGGGGTCTAGAAAGGACTCAGAGCCAGTGCACACCCGGAAACACTTGGCAGAGAATGGCCTCCCCACAGCTGTGGCACCAAAGAGAGGTAAGAACAACCTAAGTCCATGCTAGAGGGTCACATGTGAGTCCTTCCCATCTCACAGAAGACTGCCAGAGAGGAGACGGAAATGCAGACACAACCGAGGAGCAGAAGGGCCAAGCCTATGGAACCCTGCTACCAGTGGGCAGACGGTACAGATGTCCACTAACCAAAAGGGTGACAGGAGGAAGGTTGAGGTCAAGTTCTAGGAAAGGACCAGGCTCCTTTTAAAGATCTAGATATGGTCAGAGTAAGAAGCAAAAAAGGCAAAAGAGACAAAGTCTTGGGCATGTGCAGCATCAACGAGCAGGTATTCAACACCTACTACACACCAGCTGAGTCCACCAACTTGAGTCCTCATCCCCAAGGTGTCCCCAAGCAACATCATCATCTCTCCTTCTCCGTTTGCCTCTTCTCAGGGAATAGCACCCCTCCACACCAGAAACCTGGAAATAAACCTGCACCCCACTCTCTCCCTCACCTCTCCTGGCCACTCAGAGACCAGATCCTGCCTTTTCTGCCTCATGACAAATCTCTCTCCTCCTACTTGGGCCACACACCACAGCTGCATCCATCATCTCTCACACAGATTGCCTCTGGGTTGGGACCCTTCCTCCAGCCTTGCCCATCTCCACGCTATGACCGAAACAGTCTTTCTAAAACACAGTTCTAGTCATGCCTGTCCCCTGCACAGAGCCCTTTCTTGCCTCCTCAGAGCCCACAAAATAGTCTCAAAAGTCCGTGGAATAAAATGCCCTTCAGCCCTACAGCTCCCCAGCACAATCTATCCTCCAGTCATCCCAAACGCCTTGCCAGTCTCTAACCTTCTATCTCTCTCCCTCCTCTGGGCCTCTGCACATGCTGTTCCCTTGTCTGTCTCCCACGAGTCCTTGAGACTGTCTGCAGCTTTGCACCCTGAGCACTTGGTACATAGAGGTGAAGTCTCTCCTGAATGAATGGATGAATGACTACGGGAAAGGATAAATGAAAAATCCCGTGAAGTTGCATTATTTCCCCCTAATTATTATAACAAATAGGAAACAGATTCAGAGAAGTGAAGCAACTTACCCAAGGTCACCCAGAATCATGACCTCATCCCACCACCCTTTGCTGCCTCAGAAGAACCTGGGGAGACCCAATGCAAAAGAAAGAACAGAATAAGAACCCAGGCTGGGTTCAGGAGCAGCACAGGGCAGGAGTCAGTAATGGTCAGGGAGAGAAGACAGAGAACGAGGACGGTGGAAGGTCGGTGCCGGTGGTTAAACAGCAGACGATGAAGGAAGGGGCTTCAGAGTCCGGGTGTTTCAGGCAGCTATCACTGGGGTCTTACTAGGAAAAAATTGTCCTCCTCCAGGAATCAGAATGGGACTAGAGAAAATCCTGGGGCTGGAGTGAAGACAGAACCTGCAGACAGTGACATTAGCCAGTGCTGGCCATGGTGACAAGGCTGTATACAGGTTATTAAGCCTGGATTAATGGTGGGAGTCCTGAAAGAGAAGTAACTCTTCCTCATTCCCAAACCCCCACTAGGGGGGAAAATGTACTTATGTGTCCCAGTCTCAGGAAGAGAAATCTGGGGACACACAGGCTGGACCTCTGAGCTGTGCAAATGTCAGCTTCTGAACCCTGGGTGGTAACAGCTGTTAGGAAATCTGAGATCCTTGGGGAAAAGATATAGGATAGATAACCCTATTGTCCCTATTCCCCACCTCCTAGCCTCTTTTCTGAGTCCTCCCCATCCTTCAAAGGCCAGTTCCCCAGCCCAGCCCTTCCCAGAAGCCTTCCCCATTTCCAGGACACACTGCTCCTTTGAATGACAACAGCTTCTTACCAGGCCCTTGACCTTCCAGCTTGTTCTGTGGTCTTCTCTGGACATGGAAGGCCATCTCCCTGAGGCCCATGGTGACTGGGGTAGAGCAGTGGGATGGATCAGCCACCTCACCCTAGGCCTGGCCCCAGCCCCATGCACACCTGCTCAGGGCTCAAGGCTCTAGGGTCTGATAGGAGGCAGCTGTTTTATTAAAAAGACTATGCCAGCAGCTGCCCTACTTTAGTGGATGGGACCCAGGATGGCTGCATGCTCTGGAAAGTACCAACAGTACTGCTGGGCCAGAGGAGCTCAGCCACCTCTGCCCCCAGCCTTGACTGGCCAAATCACCCAAGCCAAAGCAGCTCTTAGGCATGCCCTGTCTGGGGAAACTTGGACAAGAGAAGGGCAAGTCACTTGGCTCAGGACATTGACTTAGTTCCTCTGTGCCCCCCCGAGTCAGGGACGCTTGGACCCAGGGTAACCATGAGGCCCCAGGCAACATCATGCACCTGTGCACCCTCACTGTCACCTTCCAGCACTGCAGTTATGCTCCTGGGTATCTCTTCACTAGATCTGAGGAAATCTGTGTGGCTGAATGAGGATATGCCCACCAGTCCCCTACACAGAGGCCTCCTCACCATCGCCCCTGGCCCAGACCTGTGAGAGCAGCTGGTATAGGCCAGTGGAAAGCAGCAAAGAAGCTTTGCACAGCACCCATCCCTTTGTGGTGGCTGGTCTGCCTCCCCTCTCCCCATCCCTCCTGCTGCTCAGTCAGTTCCAGCCTCACCACGGGGCAACAAGGATGTGCAGGAGAGGAACCGAGGATCAGCACAGCCAGCCCCAGCCCTGGCCACCCACTCCTCTGGCAGCACTGAGCCCCATCATCAGGGGCTAATTAAATCCCCCTAATGAGGAAATAAGGATGCAGGAGCCGGCTCCGCCATGGCCTCCCCGGCCCACCGCCCTCGCCTCTCCATTGGACTTATCGCTCGTCACAGGATGTTTACAATAATTTTTAATTTGTGCAATTATTAATCACTTTTCTATCTGCCTCATTTGCATAATAATTAGTCATCTCACTGTTTGGCATGCCTGTGAATGACAGTGTTTTAAATTGAATTAAGATTTTAATATTCTATTTTCCTGCTTTCTTCCCCCTCCACACGCTAATCAAAGTCAGATTTGGCAGCCAGAGGGAGGGTGGGGAGGAGGTTGGCAGGCACTGGACTTGGCCTGCTCAGCGCTCCTGAGAACTGTGCTGGGAAGAGGGCTTGTATGGAGAAGACAACAGCAACCACCGGTCACCCAAAACCTGGCACTCGCAGGGTTAACCCAGCCCTGCCTAATGAGTAGAGGTAACGAGGAGTGGGCAAAGGCAGTTGGGGAGGGAGGTGGTCACACTGGCTCAGTGGCACCAGAGATCAAGAAAAGCACTTTCATTTTTTCCAAACAGGCTGGTTTTTGCGAGGGGAAGTTGGAAGGCACATTACAAGCCAGTAGTTGATCCCTGATTACTAGTCTAGGTTAACTTTGATGGCTCGGGGTCCCCCGGGCAGAGAAGCAGGCTGGAGCAGTAGAAAACCCATTGTCATTCCTCAGATGGGCTGAGAAAACAGATCTCTGTGGGTGAGTTTGGTTCTCCTTCCCGCTCCGGAGCCACCTCCTCTCCACACATCAGCAGACCCTCTGCCGGCTTCACAGCCTGCACCAGGGAGTGTCGGGTTTCCACTGACAAGGGGCAACAAGCAGGGGCATGTGGTCCTCTGTCGGGGCCAGGGGTGGGTTTCTCTCTCTCTTCCTTACCCTCAAGCCCCTCTCTGACCCGTGCGCCCCCCCGCCCCCCCCACCGCTATTTGCCTTGCGTGTTGCCATGGTAATCCTGTGGCTGCCCTGGATACCCATTGCTGCTCCAGAATTCTATGCTTAAGCAGAACAGCTCTCCCCACAGCCTCCTGAGAACACCGCCCCTTTACCATCACTGAGGACAAAAGGTGAGGAGCTGGGGTATGATCACCAATACGTGGTCTGCAAAGTCAGCTACTGGCCTCTTCCTCCAGCTGAGTGGGACAGAAGATGGGGCAGGGGACCACATTCCACTCAGCAACCAAGGCTTTCCCCAGGCCAGAGGAGGGGGAGGACTCCATCCTACTAGAGAAATCCCTTCTTCCCACAAGGAGCAAGGTCTCCCAACTCAGCACTTAGGGGTCAAGGGAGGGAAGTACCTTGGATGGGGGAGAAGGAAATGAGGCCTTGCTGCCAGAGCTAGAGCTGAGTGAGAGGAGGGATGGCTAGAAGTTTCCAGAAGAGCGCTTCTCCTTCACAGGACCCCACAGCTGGTCTGCGAGTCAGTCAACACCTGCGAGTCAGTCAACAAGCTCAGGCAGAGAAGGTTCCAGGCATTCCTGGGGTCCCTCTGGCACAGGGTGTTCCTGGGCTGACCATGAGCCCTTCAGCCAAGTGCTAATCCACCTAGGAAGGCACCGGCCTCAGGAACTGTAGTACCAGGAACCTGCTTGCCCAGTCTTTGCCTAAAGGGCTAGGACAAAAATTGCCAGGATTCAGGAGCGGCGCAGTCCAATCCAGGAATTACAGGGAGCTTTTGAGAAACCAGGCCCCAGGACTTTGGACTGTGTCCCCAACCCGGAATAGAGGGAGCACATAGTCTGTTCATCACATTGTAAATGACCCAGATGAGACTCCACTCTCTACTACACTGTCACTCAGGGGACCCCAGCCCTTACCACAACTAGCTTTACCCACACACCAGCTCTCTGCTCCCCAGCCTCTTCCTCCAGCCCCTGAATGGCAAGGGGGTGCTTCAGGAAGTGAGACCCGTACACACGGCTAGTGCGACAGCAGCCTCTGCTGGCCGCCTTCGCCTTCGCATCTCGCCTACGGAGGAAAGGAAGGCCAGCAGACCCTCAGAACTATGCTCACCACGAGCTCCAGTGTACCTGGGACAGTCCTGCTTTATACCCGTTGTCTTCGCATAATTATCAATAGCACATGCGCACGTGCACACACTGCTCACTCTCAGAAGTGTCCCAGTTTGGACACTAAATTAAGTGGTCTCTCTAGTCACAGCCAAGTTCAGGTCCCAGCGAGCCTGGGGAGAGGGTGGAGAAACTCCGAGCACGGAAACAAGCAACCTCCCCACCCCTAACCAGAGGTGACGGTACTCCCGTTTAGTCAGCACAGGAGGAAATTCAGAGCTCCCCGCCGTGGGCCAGAGCAGAGGCGTCTTGAGAGTCCTGCTTGGGGACAGAGGGGAAGCAGGTCTTTCCCAAGGGAGGAAATACTTGACAGAAGGAACAGAAAGAAGGCAGGCAGAAGGGAGCCGACTCAGCAAAAGGGTAGGAAGCCTGAAGGAGTAAATACTATCTCCACATGCGTCCAGCAGATGGCAACACGGGCCCATCCACGTGGCAGCAGGGCAGCCCATCAGCTGGTTGCCTAGTGCAACTCTGGGCTGTGTGTGGCCTCTGCCCTTCTGCAAAGCCCACCTAGACTGCAAAGCCTCTCTCTCCCCTTTACCCTACTCTTCACCCACTTTCCCCCAGCTGACTCCCTAGCCTGAATTGCAAAATTAATAAATTAAGATATTATACAAGGTACCCCTCCTTTCCCCTCCAAAAGATGGGGAAGGGAAGTCAGAGCAATCAGACCCAGGGAAGTGGGACTCCTGCATCCCTTCCTCTGCACTGTTGCCTGGTTGATTCAAGGCTCTCAGGGAACCCCTTCTTCTCCACCCATCTGGGTTGGGATTCCTGGGCAGAGAGTTATAGGGAGCAGTGTTTCTTTGCGGGGTAGGAATGGGGTCATAGATATCATGGGATTTTTATATGTCCTGTTATTCACAGAAATTAATGCAAATTAGCTGCAAAGTAAGATACAAATGCACACTATCTACACCAGGAACCAACAGCTGTGGCATTCTGGGGACTTGGACAAAAGCAACAGTCCCTTCTCCACAGAGCCTTGCAAGATTAGTGGGAAGAGAGAAAGCAGGCTGGTGCACATGGGTTTTCCTGCACTGCCTTCCCACTCCCAAGGACCCCTCCCATGTGAGGCACGTGGCCAGACCCTGCTGGAGGCAGAGGAACTCACATCTGCACTCAAGCAGCTCGTGGCCTGGGTGGTTGGCCCTTAGGCCTCAGTCTCACACCTCCACCATTGTCCCTCCAGCCTAATGCCAAGACCTTTCTCAGGCATGTGGCTGGGACCAAATTGGGATTTTTATCCCCCTTTTCTCCATGTAGAAAAGGATTATTGTGAAAAGGAAAAATAAGGACCACAAAATCCTTAGAAAGATTTCAAAGATGCCCTACCTACACTTGCACACCACTTGCTGAGTTCCGGACATTCACGTTTGCCCAGTTCCTACCTGCAATGGAAGCTCAACCTAGCATTAGCTGAATTCAAGAAATACTTATTGGGGCCAGCCCCATGGCCAAGTGGCTAAGTTTGTGCACTCCGCTTCGGTGGCCCAGGGTTTTGCCGGTTGGGATCCTGGGCACGGACATGGCACTGCTCATCAGGTCATGCTGAGGCGGCATCCCATATAGGACAACCAGAGGTACTCACAACTAGAACATACAACTATGTACCGGGCGGGGGGTGGGGGGGAGGTTTGGGGAGAAGAATGAAAAAAATGATTGGCAACAGATGTTAGCACAGGTGCCAATCTTTTTTTTTTTTTTTTTTTTAAAGATTTTATTTTTTCCTTTTTCTCCCCAAAGCTCCCCAGTACATAGTTGTATATTTCTCACTGTGGGTTCTTCTAGTTGTGGTATGTGGGACGCTGCCTCAGCGTGGTTTGATGAGCAGTGCCATGTCCGCGCCCAGGATTCGAACCAACGAAACACTGGGCCGCCTGCAGCAGAGCGCGCGAACTTAACCACTCGGCCACGGGGCCAGCCCCGACAGGTGCCAATCTTTAAAAAAAAAAAGAAAGAATATTTATTGAGTGTCTCCTATAGGTCAGGCTTTATGTTGGATGCTGGAAACTCTGGTCTTTGCCTTTAATAAGCTCTAAGTCGGGCAGGGGGAGGAAAACACACCACAATTCACTGTAATATAAAGAGATTCATACTAGAGTCAGATATGTACAACTATTATGGGAGCAAACCCAAAAAGGAAGTATTTAATTCAGCCATTCTGCCAGTAGCAAGGGAGACAGGGAAAACTCCACAAAAGAAATGACATTTGAGCTGGGCCCTGAAGGGTGAGTAAGGTTCTGCTAGGGAGAGGAAGAACAGGGCAGAAGCAGCAACTTGGAAAAGCACAGAGGCCTGAACCAGTGACATCTGACCAAGGGAAGTGAGAAGTCCAGAGTACAAGGAACGAGCAGACAGGTTAAGTCACAAGGGACCTTGACAGAATGCTAAGGAGACTAGACACATCCTGTAGACAAGGGCTTCGTTCTCCATCTGCCTCCTATGTGACCCTGGAGGACGTTCCTGTCCTCAGTTTCCCCTGTCAGTACTGGGATAATCATGCTTCCCCGACGCTGTTCCCACGAAAGCCACAGACTCCCTTTTGCTGGGCCTGGGTTGGCTGGCAGAGCCACTCCATAAATATCTGACAGGAGGTCCATGTGCTAATTAAGCATTCACCTCATGTTGCAAACATGACAATCAATTAGCCCCACTGATTAGAGACTTTCACTAAGAAGTTGGGAAGGCGGACCATCCTGAAGGCACTGAACCCAATTTGGCCTACTCTCACCCAGAGTAACCCCCTTCATTCATTCCTTCATTCATCTGGACAAAGAGCATAGTTTAGTAGCTCTGTGGTCTTTAGCTTCAGTTTCCTCATCTGCAAAATGGAAATATCAGCACCAAATTTGTTGGGGCTTTATGTCGTTACTATATGGAGAGTGCCTAGCTCATCACAGCACTAAATAACTGATAGCCATTAGCTCTGAGGTAGAATGCCTTGGGCTAGGAGCAGGGGATTTCAAAATGAATAAGAGACTTGAATAAGAAAATAATGAATAAGAATAAGAAAATGAATAAGCGTCCTGGCCATGGGACCTCAAAATCCACAAAATAGCACCATGAATGTTGTCAGGTACCAACTGCCATGAAAACTCAGAGACAGGTTGCATCAGTGAGCAGACAGACCCTGCCCTGGGAGCAGCGGCATGAGTTTGCATCCTGAGTTCCTAAGTAGACCTGGGTACACAGGACCCTTCCAGTCCCTGCCACATAACCTGGGGGTCTCCCAGCACCTCGGGCAGTTGCTTGAGTTTGTCTTTGTCAACACTTGCTCTTTATTCCACATCGAAAGACTTTCCAAACTGTGACTCAGAAGTTAAGTCCTCTCCAGCACGAGGCCACGTTGGCCGGGCTAATCTGAGCCTCTGGAGAAGGAATGGGCCCCAATAACCCTCATTCCAGCCTCCTCCTCTCCTGTACCAAGAAAAACCAGGACAAGCCTCACCATCCCACCACCTTGCAGGTTGAGAAAGCGTGGAAGAACAAGAAAGTGGGATTCCTAGAGGCTAAAGACCAGCTACACAAGTAGGAGATGGGGCAACATGGCTCCATCCCCTCTCTCACAATATGTGTAAAGGAGCCATGGGAACTTTTTTTTTTAATTTTATTTTTCCCTTTTCTCCCAAAGCCCCCAGGTACATAGTTGTATACATTTTTAGTTGTGGGTCCTCTAGTTGTGGTATGTGGGATGTCGCCTCAGCATGGCCTGATGAGCGGGGTGCCATGTCCGCACCCAGGATCCGAACCGGCGAAACCCTGGGCTGCCGAAGAGGAGCGGTGAACTTAACCACTGGGCCATGGGGCCGGCGCCAACGGAACTTTTGACAATAGTTAGCTCAGTGAGAATCAATGGTGGGAGGTGGTCACCATGAAAGCTTAATTCAATCTTGAATACAATGATTACAGTATAATATCTAGATGGAGGGAAGTGATAGCCTGACTGTACTCTGATCAGAATACCCTGAGCCTTAGGACTCAAGCCAGCTGCTACACTTTAAAACAGCAGCAAACTGGAGTGAGTTCAGAGAAGACAACATGGGACTCAAAATCATGCATTCAAAGGATGGTTGAAGGAACTGGAAAAGAGCCTGACAGGCCCAGCAGCTTTCTTCTAACGTCAACCTAACTGTGGCATTACTTCCTGATCATACCGGAGATGCACAATTAAGGGGGAAAATGTCTTACTGTCAGCCACTCAAGCACAATGAATCCCAGAGATCATTCCCTCAGTCCTGCTTCAGATTCATGGGATATATCCCAACCCACACCGCACCTGCAGGATTAGAGTTCAGGAAGGTTTCTTTAGTTTATTCAGTTTGTCCCTGAGCTTTATTATGACTCTGGGATCCACCTTGAGACCACCCTCCAAGGCTAACTTGAGCATGCCCCCAGACCCTCTCCACTGACCACCTCGGTCCTCTCCTACCATCCTTCATTCTCTTCCTACCACCTCTTCCTCTCATGTCAGCCTCTAGCTGGGTTGTTGTGCTTGGTTCTGCTGCTGGATTGGGGGTGGAGGGGAGGGAAGAGGCCCTATGCGAAGCGTTTATAAACACAATTAAACCCTCTATGTATGAAGATTAATTTCCTACTAGCTTATTCTGCAAAAATTATCTGCTTCCTTTCTTGTATAAGCTTCAATACAAAATTCTCTTCCTATTACCTTAACCTTGTGGCTCCAGGAAGGGAAGCAGGTAGGGCCTGGGAAGACAAATTTATCCCCACACAGCTAAAATGTTGTCAAGTAGCAGAGGGGTTATTAGTCTGTTTTTGTAAGCCCCAAGATGATCATTCAGACAAATGGTGAAGCCACAGGGAAATACAACTGAAAATAGCTAGAGCTGCCCAAGGATGGAATATATATGCCCCAGGAGGTGGTGACAGGGTAGAAAGTGTTCAAACATGGGTGGGGTTGGCCCTTCCCAGAAATATGATTTGCCAGGAGATTCCACCAGTGGAGTAGGTGTGAGGATTAGATCTCTTTAAAACCCTTTCCAACTTTGATTCTAGGATTAGTATAATTAGCACTGCATTTCCATGGGACCAGAGATTGGGACAGCAGTTGAGCTGATGGAAAATACTTTTAAATTAATTGGTGTGTGGAATGTGTAGCAAATAGAAGTTCTTTAAGGTATACTCCAACTCTGAGATTCCTATTTTGTGATTCCAGGTTGCGAAAGAGTGTCAGCTATGAGCAAATCTATACAGCTAAGAGGATGCAACTCAACCTTCTGTCTCAGGACAACACCTGGTGTGTGTGTGTGTGTGTGTTCAGTGGGGAGTAGAGATGAGGGCAGGAAAAGACAGACATCTGAAGGGTCAGAGCTTGGGCACACACACACATCTCACACACAGGGGAGATCCAAGTTCGACTTGAGGCTGATGGCAGAGACAAGGCCCAACAATCTTGAGGCTGGAGCAATTCTACAATCACCTCCTGCCCTCACTTCTGGCTACAGCAGTCTGTTGTCAGGGACACAGCTGCCTCCACTTCCTCTCCCAAAGCCAGTGCAGTGGCTTTCACATTCAATGAGGAGGACCAGAGCAACCTACATCACCAGATCTCAGAAGTAACGCCAATATGCCAAAGCACAGGCGCTCAGTCAGGAGCCGGGGGACAGAGGACAGGGCTGAGCAGAGAAGCTACTGCCAACATGACCCGGAAAGCCAGTGGGCCAAAGTGCCCGCCTTCAGCCATCTCTGTGGGCTCCGTGAGTGTGGGTGTATCCTCTAGGCACCCCACTACCCGACATCCCCTTCTCACTTCCCTACCCATCCCCAAAGCTCCTGCTCTCTGCTTCTGCCCCCCTAATGCAGGGTTGACAGGCAGAGGACACAGGATGCTTGCTGTCCTGGGTCCTGCTCTGGCTCAGGGGGTGCTTGGACCTCACTGGTTCAAGGGCAATCCTCCCCATAGAGTTCTCATTACCCGCTCCCCACTATAACCGCAGCCCCGCAATGTCAACCATAGGTAAAATGGCCCTCTGACAGCCCCTTTCTCCATCCTGCAGGACCCTACCCTGACTCCTCCACGTTACACTGGCCAGCCAAAAATGCTCTTTCTTCACGAGCCAAAAAGCTGCTTCTAAAAGAGCAGCAACCCGCCCTCTCCCAATCTCCCACCCTTGAACTTCCAAATGCTGAGTCTAAGTGTGGCCACTGCAGACCGCCACCCTCCCGCCTTCTCCGAGGAACTGGAGGGGCTTCCACAGGTCCTGTGGGGTGTATCCCACACTTCAGAAGTAGGGAGGGAACGAACACCCCTGGCTCAGCTCTAATCTTCTGTGCTCCTAGAGACTACTTCTTCCTCTGTCCCTTAGGAAACACAGACACTACAGCCACTGCACCAAGCCCTGGGAAAGGGTGTACCCCTATCTGAAGTTCCGCCAGTCTGTCGGTGAGTGCACCACTAACCATCGTCATTGTAAGCCACCCCTCCTCCAACCAGCACTACTTTCAAAGCCAAAGAAAAAAAAAGACTCGGAATGCTCATTAAAAATAACTGCTTTTGAAATGCCATATGCCCTTACATGCAGAGAAAGCCCCCTGCCCAGCTCTTACTGATCCAGCCTCAAATCAGCTCAATTTGGGGCCTGTCTGGACACCACCAGCAGCAGCGCCCCCCCCCTCCCCTTAGTGGGGGTAATGAGTAAGGGAAGGTTGCCATGAGGTAGACGGGGAAGAATCACTGGAATAGGCCAATCACTACTCTTCCCCCTGCTCCAGACATCCCCTCTCCTGGGGACAGAAGACCCCGCCCACTTGCCTACCCTTCTTCAAATAGCAAAGTCTTCAATCCCACCCAGCAAGAGATGCTGGCTCTCCAAACCCAGCCAGAGAACAGCCATCCTGGTGTTCAGGTAAGGTCAGGAGTGAGACGAGAGTCGAGTCAACAGGGACACGTGCCATTGATACAGTACATATGCTCTGGAAATATCTTAAAATTTTAAGATACTATTTATTAAGCACCTACTACATGCCAGACACTATGCTAGATACTTTATCTCAGATCCTCCCAATAACCCAGGAAAGGATGTATTATCCTGGTTTTACATATAAGGAAATTGTGGCTCAGAAAAGTGAAGTAACTTGCTAGAAGGTAGCACCGGCCTTTGATGACCTCTCACTCTAGGAGTCTGCTCCCCACACCTTCCCCTATTAATATGGGGAAGATAACAAGGACCCCTCTGCACAAAGAGGCAGAAGTGAACTTCCCCTCTGGGGAAGTAGCAGCAGGGGGTTGCTTTGCAGGAGTCAGAAGCCCAGGAGGAAATAGCCCCAGGAGATATTAAATACCGCCTGGAGCTCTTTCCCAAGGCTCCACTCCCCATGCAATCCCCAAGCTACTTCAGCCAGCAGTGCAAGCCTCAATGGCTCCCCTTCAGCACAACCTACGGAGAATGCTACAAGCCCTGGAAGATGGAGCCTGTGACTTACCACGGGGAGAAGTCCTCGTATTCAGGTGAGACTTAGCCTGGCGGGGTGCAGGGTAATAGGGGATAGAGAAGTGGCACCCTGTATAAAGCAGAAACTGAACCCTCTATTCCCAAGGCACCCTTCCCAGGGACACTCCTGTCCCCGAGGCGGATCCCAGGGGTGGGAACCATCAACCCAGGAGAATATAATGAGCAGCAAGGGCCCCCAGCCCTCTCTTCAAAAGCCCTGCAGAAAACATTTGACTACAAGGTCAGCCAGGACCCCTGTGGGAGGGCACCATACTACCGACCCCATCCCATCCCACCCTCCTTCCTGTTTGGGCTGGACCAGCTAGCAGCCCTGTAATTCAGGCTTTCAAAGCTCAGATCATTCAAATGGGGCTTGGAGGACACCCTAGGATTCCGCACTAAGGATTCTTTAGTTCTGGTCTTAGGGAGACAACTCTGAAGGTCAGAGTGGTGGAGAGGCAATGCTGAGATATTTTGCATCTGCTATTCCCTTTATAAAAGGCTTAGTCAAGTAGAGCGGCCGGCTGTGCAAAAGCCAAGGCTGGGGTCCAGATGCCCACCTTTAATCTCATGACTTTCCCACACAGAGGAGGTCCTCCGCACTTTCTTGATCCCTAGGTGACGAGCACATGAGCAGTACTCATCAGATTTCCTTCCACAACCCTCCTCTTGGTCAGTTGATGTTCCCAGTTCACATTCAGGGCAGAAAAATAGCACCAACAGTGCATCCAGGCTACATGGAGAGTATCAGCCAGTATCAAAGTGACTTTCAAGCCCCAGGATGGAGTGAAGTCCTCAGACCTGGCCCAGACAGGAACAGCCAGGGAATCAAGTGAGTAACCAGAACTGCTGGCAAGCTGCAGGGTTGCCGTGGGGGATGAGGACAGAGGAGGGCCCTATTTCCCAAGACAAAGGTAAAACTTCAGAACTCAGACTTCCATTCAATTCAGAGACATAGCTGTAGAAGGCAACAGAGCAAAGCACTAATGGTTTTAGAACCTTGGATCTCCATCTAGTTCGGATTTACTTAGTCCTCTCACCCCAGATAAGCTTTGAGCAAGGAGAGACTGTATGCTGTTCATAACTGGGGGTCAGCCTCTTCCCTCCGTCTCCTTGGAAGACAAGAACTCTAACTGAAGCCAAGAGGTAGAGTGCCAGGCTTACCCAGAACCCATGGAACTACAGAGAATCAGGCATTCCACTTGCCCATCCTTGTCCTGGCTTCTCCCCTATTAAAGCCTGCTTCCCCTGGAGCTCAGAATAGCCCTCTACATCCCTCTGACTCATCCCTGAAAGGTTAGAAGGCCCAGCTCCAACGCAAAGCCAGTGTCACACAAATGTTACAGAAACCATTGGCCTATTCCAAAGCGGTGGATGACAGGATCATCTTCACCCCAAAGTGAGCAGGGATAGCAGCCTAGCAACAAGAAGAGCTCTTCTCCTCCAGCAGACATACTTCCATGCTCCTATCCCAAGACCACATTCTCTAAGCCGTAGTCTCCAGCTGCCTAACGGGATGTTTTAGAAATGCTCTCCATCGCCCCATCCTTTGGCTGCAGGTGTCGCACCCTCTCTGTGGGGTCTTAGCAGGATAACTGGGAAGTATGAAAAGAAACGGAGATAAAATAAATTAAAATTTTATTTTAGAAATAAATTTTCATTTGAAATTACCTGCAAATGCACTGTACAGTTTAGGCAGACACACAAATGAAAGGCCAGGAACATATGCAGATGGCACAGCACCCTTCTATTTGTAGGCCTCCACTGGTTTGCAGATATAGATTCCAACTCGTACAAAGATTTTTACCCCATGCAGCAAATATATCTACACTATGCAAAAGGACACTGCCCCTAGCCAGCCACCCACTGTGCATCAGCATCAGAAGCCAAGCTGGCCGACGCAACAGATGGCCATCCTGGGCGGGAAGAGCACTGCCAAGTTTGATGAAAACACAGTGACCAGGGTAAAGTGCCCAAGCTCTCTGTTAAGAGGTAATCAGCAAGAAGGTCCTAACTACTCCCCAAGCCAAGGTGGGGGGGTGGGGGGGAAGACAAGGGAAAGGATTTATCCCGCCAGAACATCCCAACTCCACTTTTCTTGGGAAATCCAGAAATTTGGCTTTCCCATATTTGCAGCCACTTACAGACTCTGATGTCTCCCTGACCAGAGAGGTGAGGTTTGTATGTACTTAACATATGCTTGACACATGGTAAGTACTTAACAAAAGATAGCAATTAAAGTTATTATTATTATTTCCCCAGAAATGCATTTCTCTCTTCCCAGATGTCTTATCTATCTCCTCCCAAATTCCAGGTAAAAAGAGTCAAGGGTAAGTTCCCCTCTAGCATGCTCAGGGTCTTCAAAGCCAAGTTCCAAACTGAAATTACCAGCAAGCAATTCTCCCAGGACTGCGGAACTCAGCCCCAAGTACGCTATGGAGACCCTCATTACAGAGGCTATGAGAAGCCCCTGATAAGAACTCCTGCCGTGGGCAGGGGACATCCCCTGGACGCTCCCTTCACCTCTCACCTTGCTACAAAGGTGAGGATGGGGGGTGGGGGAGGGGACTGCACAGAGAGGAGTCTGTTATTTAAATCCTGGCTGTTTTCCAACTCAGAGCAATTCTGAGCAAGTTAACCCCTCTGCACAAATGTTTCTCTCTCCTGCCAAAAGAAAAAGAAAACAGGCCCTGCTTACCAAGCACTAGACATTGAAGTTTTACCTGTGACTCCTTGTCATTCCTGAGCTGAGAGAGGGTGCTCAAGATAACATGCAAGGAGGGGAAGAGTCACTCCTTTTTCAGCTGAGTGCTCTCTGTCCCCTCCCAAGGGGATGGGTTCACAGGCACCAGCCAAGGATCAAACTACCACCAGGACCCCCTACATGCCCTTGTTTTCTGAAAAGGGGAAACTGTGTAAGCCCAAGGTCAACAGCATCAAATGTGAGGCAAACAATTTATCTACTGAGCAAAGAAAAACATTCAGGTACAAAGGAGAGACTGAGTCACTCCCAGATACAGTAACGTCATTCGAGTATGGCAAAAGAAAGCCAGTGTCATAGGGGAGACATGACTCAGCTCCAGCCTGGCCCCATAATCTCTCTGCCTATTTTTACAGGCCAGTCCAGCTGCCTAAAAGCTCAGCTCCAGCAGTATTTATACCAACAACAAGACTCAAAACTTAAAAAAAACAAAAAAAGTTGGGAAGAAAACTACCCAAAGAACCTGTGCAAAAATGCAGTTCAGGGCACATGTCTCCTCACCAGCTCAAACTTAAAATCCAAGTCTCAAGATAGCTACCTCACAGGCTAGACGCTGCTTTCTCACTGGGATTCCCTGCCACACACTAACCCTCACGCAGCACTCTGACACTAACTGAGGAGGCGGAATAACCTCCTTAGAAAGGAACGATGCACCCGGTGTCCTAGAAAGTCAATGCGCTCCAGGAAACTTGAAGGAAAAAGAGGTTAAAGCATCTCTCTTACTAATGAGTCAATGGCAAAGCATCAAGACTTCTCCAGCCAGTACCATCGATTAATTATATCCTATTTGAGCTATGGTGTCTGCTCACTGCTGCTTTTTTTCTTTACATTTTTTGAGATATAATTCAAATACCATAAAATTCACCCTTTTAAAGTGTACAATTCAGTAGTTTTTAGTATTGCTCACTGCTTCTTAAGCCTAAACTTCAGAGTGGAGAAGGTACAGGAAAGGAAAGAGAGTAAGAGGGTCTGAATTTGATTAAAAGAAAAAAAATATCTTCCATGTAGAGAATGGTTTCCAAAGCCTAAGTAAGGGAGCTTCTAATCAAAATCTAAATACCAGGCCTCTCTCTTGAAAATCTTTACCATATTGAAAACAGGATTATGTTTCTGGATCTAAGGTAGGGATAAGAAGTGGAGGAACAGGCAACTGAATTTAGTCACCTATGTCCTTGAGATTGTAAGGCTTATTATTTTGAAAAATGTGCATACACCAGGGCCCTGCTTTCCCCAGTCCAGAAAAGGCGTGTCACACTGCCCTCTCGTAGCCAGCCTAGGAAATGACAGCCAGCTACCAGCTGAACAGGCCTGGAGGTCTCTGCCCTACAGTATGCTCACACACATACTGGCAGAGAAACTGGAGGCAAGAGGAATTTATAAATTTCCACCAATGCTTACTAATCACCTGGAATAGAATCTTTTTGCTTCTGCTCCACCTCAGCCTCTGCTTGAAACCAGATAATACATTCCTTCTTTACAGAAAAAAATTCTCGTTTAAGATTTCCAAAGCGTCTGGGCCTCTCTTACTCCATTCAGGCTGCTACAACAAAAATACCATGGACTACGTGACTTAAACAACAAATAGTTCTTTCTCACAGTTCTAGAGGCTAGAAGTCCAAGATTAAGGCACCAGCAGATTCAGTGTCTGGTGAGGGCCGCCTTCTCACTGTGTTCTCTGATGACAGAAAGAGCAAGACATCTCTCTGGGGTCTCTTTAATGAGGGCACTAATCCCATTCACAAGGGCTCCACCCCCATGACCTAATCACCTCCCAAAGGCCCCCTTCCTAATACTATCACCTTGGGAGCTAGGATTTCAACATATGAATTTGGGGAGGATACAACGTTCCATCCAGTCTCTTAAAGTGAGTTGTTCCTAAGAAACACCGTAGGACCCCACAAAAGAGAAGTTAAAACCTGAACCCATAGAGAAATAAAATCCAGCTGTGTATAAGTGCAACCATGGGCTAGAAGTTGAGTGTGCTCCCTGCCACCTCTGGCCAAGGAAAGGGGCAGGCTAACAATACAGCTCACAAAAGTATAAACTCAAAAGCAGTAACTTACAGTAGGATCCAGTGTCCAGAGCCTATATTCTCTGGGGCCTTTTTTTAAAATAAGCTATTTATTTTTGAAAAATTTTAGATGTACAGAAAGTAGTAAAGACAATACAGACAGTCTCGTTACTCTTCACCCCAATTCCTTGACTGTTAACTTCTTACATAAGTATGGTACATTTGTCAAAATGAAAAGATTAATATTGGCATATTTCTATAAACCATACTCAAGACTTTATTCAGATTTCACCAGTTTCATCACTAATGTTCTAACCCTGGGACTTTTAAAAAAATGTTTTCAGTAAGGAGCCAAAGGACCAGATAGGCAGTGTAGAGCCCAGCAGAACACTGGGTCCTAGTCCCAGTTCTGCCACACGCTAACTGAAGAATCTTACAGTTTATTTTCTGAGGTTGTTTCCTCTCCAAAAGTACCACCATCTCAAAATACTGATTCTAGACACAATTCCAGTTTACCCTTCATCTCTATGCCTAAGCTCTTCTCTGACAGCCACTGGCCAGTGGTAGGGAAGAGACACTCCTAAATTGGAAGTGACTCCAACTGAGACTCTCCAGTTACAGAATGAAGTTCCTTTGAGATTTTCAAATCTCGTAATTATTTCGAAATCACGTACATCTCAAATGGCTGGGAGATGGACAGCTTTTCTTCAGGAGTCTGAGAAGTGCCTGCTGCAGGTTTCCAAGCTGCAGTCCAATATCCATTTTTCTCTTCTTCCTGGATGTGTGTTATATTTCTCAGGCTCCCCTGCATTAAGGGACAGCCACGCAATTAGGTTCTGGCTAACAGAATGTGAGTGGAAGTGTGTGCCACTTCTACAGCTGGCCTGTAATATCTACCAAGCAACCCTCCAAGCTCAGCTCAACTCACTAAAACAGCAACGCAAAAAGCATCCTTGGAAGCCAGGTTAACGCTGGCATCAGCTTGGTCCCTAAATGACTACCTGGAGTAGAGTATCCCCCTCCCATTGCCCTAATCTGAAACTACCTGGACATGAGTGAGAAGGAGAAAAAAAATTCCACTGCGGTATGCCAGTCCTTTTGGAGAGAGTCATAGCAGCTTAGCCTACCCTAATTAATACAAGTACTAAACGTCAATTCCATTAGAGTAAAACCTTGCTTCTGCAGCTGTGCAGAGAGCTTCAGGCGCACAGAACTGAACTGACCACATGCCTGAGTTCAGGACACAGACCACATTCACCCATGCAAGGCCCCTCTTTGGTTTCCCTTTCTCTCCTTCATTCCCCACTCCAGTCCCTATTTCTTCCCACAGACCCTATTCTAGTGAGTTAAGGTGTATGTCCTTAAAAAATAATGTTGCTTTCTGTGTTTAAATTACTTAGCTCATTTTTGCTGTAAATTTCATTGTTCCTTATCTTCCTCACCTGGAATCTATCATGTTGCTAAGTTCCTAACAGCTTACATCTGTTTTTTATAATATTCTATCATATGCATATACCACATTTTACTTATCAATTCCCTTAGGGATGGACATCTGATTTGCTCCCAGTTTCTTGCTACCCAAACTATATACAGATAAACATGCTTATAGTAATTCTTTGTGGATCTGCGCAAGTTTCTATGAAGGATATAGCCAGGAGTGGAACTGCTTTGATGTAGGGTATATACATAATTAATACATTAGTTATCTATTGTTGTATAACAAACTACCTTAAAACTTAGTGGCTTAAAACAATAACTCCCACAGAGGAAATATTTGCAAATTACATATCTTATGAGAAACTTGTAACCAGAATATATAAAGAATTCTACATAAGAGTTTGTGTGTTTGTGTGTGGGGGGGGGGGGGGGGGGCGCACGTGTGCTCGCGTGCGCGGGGAAGACAAATAACCCAAGTGAAAAATGGGCAAAGAATTTGAGTAACATTACTCCAAAGAAGACACATAAAGATGTTCAACAACATTAGGGAAATGGAAATCAAAATCGCAATGAGATAGCACTTTACAATCACTAGGATAGCTATAATCAAGAAGACATATAATAACAAGTATTGACAAGGATGTGGAGAAATTGGAACTCTCATACACTGCTTTAGAAGTCCGGTAGTTCCTCAAAAAGTAAAACATGGAGTTCCATATGACCCAGCAACTCTACCCTGAGAAAATTGAAAACATATGTCCATACAAAAACTTGTACATGAACATTGATAGCAGCATGATTCACAATAGCCAAAAAGTAGAAACCACTCAAATGTCCATCAGATGATGCATGGATAAGTAAAATGGGGTATATCCATACAAGGGAGTATTATTCAGCCATAAAAAGCAATGGAGTACCATATACACTAGAACATAGATGAACATTGAAGCTACTATGCTAAGTGAAAAGAGCTAGACACAAAGGCCACATATTGTATGATAGTCCTATTCACATATTATATGAAATGTACAGAACAGGCAAATCTATAGAGACAGAAAGCAGATTCGTGGCTGCCTAGGGCAGTGGAGAGCAATCACTAAAGGATACAAAGTTTCTTGGATCCACAGGGTGATGAAAATGTTCTAAAATTCCTTGTGATGAAGGTTGCACAACTCTGATATGCTAAAAAAAAACACTAAATTGTACACTTTAAATGGGTAAACGGAATTGTACACTTTAAATGTGAATTACATCTCAATAAAGCTATTTTTAAAAAATTTAAACACCAATTATCTCACAGTTTCTTTGGGTCAATTTGGAGTTGGGTGATTCTGGCTCACAATCTCTCATGAGGTCATGGTTACGTTGTTGATCAGGGCCACACGTTTCTAAAGGCTTGAATGGAGTCAGAGGATCCACTTCCAAGGTGGCTCACTCACATGGTTGGTGACGTGGTGCTGTCTGTTGGTGAGAGGCCTCAATTCCTCTCCACATGGACCTCTCCAGAGGGCCGCTTGAGCGTTCTCATGACATGCCAGTGGCTTCTTCCAGAGCAAGTGATCCAAGACAGTACAAGGCAGATGCTTCAATGTCTTTCATGACCTAGCCTCAGAAGTCACACATTTCCAGTAATCCTATGTACACAAGTCAGCGCTATTCATTGTGGGAGGGGACTACACAAGGGTTTGAACACCAGGAGTCAGAGATTATTGAGGGCCATCATGGAAGCCGGCTATCAACACTTGATGATAAGGAAGACAATGATAATAACTAACAATTTTGTGACACATATTATGTGTCAGGCACTGTTCTAAGCTCACAATAAACCTATGAGGTAGGTACTATTATCTCCACTTCACAGATGAAGAAACTAAGGCACAGAGAAGTTAAGTGGCTTACCAAGGTCACAGAGTTAGTAAAAGATAGCTGGGATTCAAACTCAGGCAGCATAGTTCCAGAGCCACACTCTTAAATTTAAAACTCTGCAATATTGACTGCATCCTAGATATTACTCAATTTCAATTAAGTGTTACCCATTTGTTCTCCAGAATGAATGCACCAGTTGCAAGTCCCCATAAGAGTTCAGTTTCTTGCTTATTTTGCCAAACTAACAGATATAAAATAGAAACTCATTAATGTTTTAATTTGCATTTCTCTCATTACCAGTGAGGTACCATACTTATTAGCCATTCTGGTTTTTCATTTAGATTTTATATATTCATATTCTTTGTCCATTTTTATTTTGTGTTTCATTTCCCTTCCTGATTTGCAGTAGTTCTTTCTATATTTAATCCCTTGTATATGCAATCCTTTGGCAGTTTTAGACATTGCAAATATTTTCTCCTAATCTATACCAATCTTTAGCTTCGACTATGGGATGCCTTGTTAACTGGAAATCTTTAATTATGAAGCAGTCAAAGCTATCAAATCTTATGGTTTGTGCTTTGGAGATTTTATTTAACAAATCTATCCTTACCCCAAAGTCACAAAGACATTCTCAATTTTCCTATTGGCTTTAGCATTTTACATCTTTGATCACTTTTGGATTTGTCTTTGTTTTGTATGGTTTGAGGTAGGGATCCAACTTTATTTTTGTACATATAAGCCAATTTTCTAAGCACCATTATCCTTCTCTTCCCCACTAATTTGTGATGCTGCCTTTATCATACACCATGTCTCCAAATGGCCATATCTACAGTCACACATCACTTAAGGATGGGGATACATTCTGAGAAATGCATCACTAGGCGATTTTATCATTGTGCATACATCACAGAGCATACTTACACAAACCTAGATGGTATAGCCTACTACACACCTAGGCTATATGGGGTCTTAATTTTATGGGACCACTGTCATATATGCAGTCTGTCACTGACCAAAATGTCATCACGCAGCACATGACTGTGTTTCTAAGTCTAGTTTGGCCTTAATTCTTATTTTCTAAAAGGAATGATCTATCACTGTGAAAGATTTTACTCACACTACTTTCCAGATTAATGTAAAGTCCAACTATCACCCTCCAAGATCCCTAGGGATTCAATATTAGCTTGTATTTTTCCCAAAAATAATATACCCAGTTATGAAAATGATTTAAAAAAATAAATGTATGTTTATTAAAAAAGAAAAATCCTAACCAAGAACAAACCCGGGGACACTGAGAAATCAACGCTTCCTCTGGAAGCCAGTAACAGCCAGTGCTGGCACACCTGAGAAGTACAGGTGCCTCAGTCCAAACATCAGGAACCAAATATTCTTCTGTAGTCACGACCAGCATTCAACGAGCTGCTGGTCTGTGTGGGCCCTGATTATTAGCACAGACAACTGTTACAGCTGGATGTCTGGCTGCCTTATGTCCACTATTACAACCCATAGCCACCCCCACAGCCTTAGAAAAGTTACATATCCTCAACACTCCACTTGTAGGCAAGTTCCTCCACCGCCTTCTTGCTGGCAAGCCTGGCAAAGCGCTTCTGTTCAAATCCATTGGATCTGCAATCAAGAGATACTGATCAGCCAGAATCCTGAACTGGACATTTATTTTTGAAAAAAGAGAAGAGTTCACAATCTAATGAATAAGGAAGAAAGTAAGCCAGTCATGTGAAAATATTTAAGGCATATAGAATTAAAAGGACAAAATTCATAACTCATCCTCGTATTAGTTCTTGTTCAGACCTTGTCTCACTCTTTGACAACTGTTTCAAACATTTACCACTCCCTAAGGGCCATACTCACTCTCGGCTGATGTCTACATCTTATACTTTATCCATTCATTACATAAACATTTAGTGAATTCTTATTATAAACTAGGTACTGTGCCAGGAAAATGAGTATGACACAGCATCTGTCCTGAAGAACTAACAGACTAGTGGAAGAGACTGACGTTTAAACAAATAATTAAAATAAAACGCATAAACTATGGTAGAAATATGCATGGGGTATCATGAAAACAGAATGGGGATCTTACTCAGCTTGAGAGGGGGATGGACAAGAATGGTCAGGAAAGGCTTCATGGAAGTGACCCCTAAGCTAAGTGTAAAAAGACAGAGTTAACCAGAGGGCTGGGGGTGGGGACGGCTAGATAGGATGGGAGGGCATTTTAGGACAGAGCACAGCATGAGCAACAAGAGCAAAGGCACAAAAATAACAAATAGCCTGGTACAAGCAGGGAACGAGAGGCAAACTTGTATGCCTGGAGCCTAAAGGATGACAAAAGGAGTAGCATGAGACAAAGTCAGAAAAGTAGGCAGAGGGCAAATCATAACGAGCTTTGTAGGCCATGGTAAAAAAGCTTAGATTTCATCCAGTAGGGATAGATTTAAAGCAGGAGCATAAACTGCATTTCAAAGAAATCACACTGGAGGAAATCATAGGCGGGAAAGTTATGGCAACAGTCCAGGCAACAGATGACGAAAGCAATGATAAAGAAGGGGGACAGAAAGAGAGAAGATACAGTAGGACTTAGTGATCGATTAGGTATATACGGAGGAGGAGGTAAGTTTGACTCATAGGTTAATAATTTTAGTGACTAGATAAATGAGGCTGCCACTAACCAGGAGAGAGCATAAAGAGTAGGAGCAGGTTTAGAGTAGGGGAAGCTGATGAGTTCAGTTTTGAATACACTGCATTTAAGGTGCCTCAAGTGCATATCCATAGAGAAATCCAATGTGCAGGTAGACACACCAGACTCAGCTGCAAATAGACATTTGGGAATCAGGTACATAGAGGTGGTAACTGAAGGGATGACTAGCTAAGATTCGACCAGAGAGAGCACATGGAGTGAGAACAGCTAAGGGTTAAGATGGAGTCCTGAGAAACATTTAAGGGATGCACAGAGGAAGAGCAACGCATAAAGGTGGCCGAGAAGAAACGATAAGAGAAAAGAACCAGGAGCAGGGTTTCATGGAAGCCAATACAGGGGTGAATATCAAGGACTGGACCTCAACTCCCTTCTAATATGATGTCTGTCATCTTACATAAACTTCTTGGAAGAGCCTGTATTCATGGTCTATACTTCCTCACTTCTCATTCACTCCTTAACACATTAGAACCTGGCTTTTGTTTCACTATGACACAGAGTTAGCTCTCTTTCAGGCCAGCAATGACCTTTCTTATTGCCAAATCCAGTGATTTCTCCCTCTCCCCAAATCAGTCACCAGGTCCTGCCATCTTATCCTCTAAACACTTCTCCACTTGCTTTTCTCTACATTCTTACTACCATTGTCACAGTTCAGACCTCGATCACCTTTAACCTGATCTACTGCAACAGCGGTGTATCTTGTCTCTCTACTTCCAAACTTGTGCCTTTCAAATGCTTCACACTACTGCTATGACTCATCCATCTAAAATGTAGAGCTGCTGTTAGTCCTTCAACAGCTCCCCTTTGCCTCTAGGATGAAGACCAAGCTCCTCAGAAATGCTTCTAAAGCCTTCTGTGACTAGGCCCCTGCTTACCTCAGTCCATCTCACACAACTCCATTTCACACTTAATGCTATCCAACAACAGCAAACTGCTTAGGACTGCCCCTCCCATAACACTATGATGTTCCATACCCTTATGACTTTGCACATATAGAATCCTCTTCCTTAAATATCCTTCCTCTCCTTCTTATCTTGGCTGGTGACTGACTCCCTTAAGACTAAGCTCATGTATCACCTCCTCTAGGAAGCACTCTCTGACTACACTCTCCTAAGGCTGAATTTACTCTACCTTTGTTCTCACAAAGCACTTTGAAAATCCTCTAGAGTAATACTTACCAGGTAGCACTGAAATTATTGTCTGTCTTTTCCTCTACATAGAAAGTGAGTTTCTGGGCTTAGCGACTGTCTCTCACTAATCGTGAGACCCTGGCACCTAGTACAAAGCTGCTTAAAAGTATAATATGTATGCTAAGTGTTACTGAACTAATTGGGATAACAGGCTTCTCTCTTTCCTAAGCCCTTCCCTAAGAGATGAGTAAGGTGAGTAACAGAAGGCTTTAGGAAGAAGGGAAGCTTATTATGAATGGCACCATCTCCAACCTTAGAAGCATGCATGGTATTCTAGAGCACCAAGGAAACCATTGTTTTTTGACTTGGGGAATAAGTACTTAAGAGAATCAACACTAACATGATCACACAAAGTACCTATGAATAACAAACCAAACCCTAAACATAATTAAAAAAAACAAATTGCAAGAGAACTCACAGTGGAAAGAATCAGGAGCCCAGGGTTCCAATTCCAACTTTATCAGGTGAGCTGAATGGCTCTAGACATGTTGTTAAATTTATCTGGACCTCAGTTTCTCTTTTAAACAATGGGAGTTAGATTAATTGACCTCATGGGTTTTTCCAACTGTAACATACCACTGATCTGTTCTAGAAATATTTACTTGCAGCGGGACAAAAATAGACAAAACTAGAAAAGGTGATGAAAGAATGAATAATCAGAAAGAAAGCAAGGATAAGAAAAGGAACTAAAAGGAAAAGTCTAGGAGAAAACAAGAACGAGAAGTGGAGGAAAACTCCTGGAAGAGATGGAGAACAAATCAGACACGAGTAAAAAACTAGGTCAGGGAGAGTTCTAACTTTTGGGTCCAGAAATTTAAAAAAATAGAAAAAGGAAAAAAGAATGAACTCAATGTAGCAGGGAATATCTTTAAGGTCGTGGCTATAAAAAGATCTACTTCTGGCTATATGGCAAATTAGTATTCTGAAAAATCCTCCTGCTACCAAACAAAGAGCCTCCATACAGTGAGTTGCAAACCAAAGTAGTAGTAAGCTGGCCTGAAACCACAGCCACTCTGAGGATACCTGCCAATAGCAGGAATAGCCTTGGACTTTCACGGTAGCTTGAGGGACAGAAAACAATGCCTTAGAGCCATATAAGTTGGGGCAGTGGATTCCAGTCATGGCAGAAGAACTTGAACAGACTTACCTAGCATCGGATAGCAATTATAAAATCTGAACAAAATATAAAAATACAAGTATTGAAAGGCATAAGAGAGTGACCAAAAGCAGGCAGAACCTGGATGGGAGTCCATGTGTGAAAAGAGATTTGTGAGGCTTTTTGCCAGCAGGCACTTCCCAATCTGCACAGCTCATGGAGACAGAAAGCCACAGGCTTATTGGCTTGAGGTGTCAGTGCAAGTGGGCAAATCAGCTTGAAAATCAGGGAGGAAATACTGAAAGGGAGAGAGCTACAAAAGGAATGAACTCCAAAATCTACAGACAACTACACCCAAATCCTCGGCTAACTGCTAAACTGTGCTTGTGCAGGAGAAACCCCATGGGGTCCAATGAAAAAGTAGCAGCTAGAAAGTGAAAGAACTGAGCAGAAATTTTAGCTGTTGCCCACTGAAAGGAGACAGAATTTAGAGTTCAATACAGTCATCATTGCATAACAACGTTTTTACAAGGGCAGACCGAATATATGATGGTGGTCCCCTAAGATTAGTACCACGTAGCCTAGGGGTGTAGTGGGCTACACCATCTAGGTTTGTATAAGTATACTCTATGATGCTCACACAACAACAAAATCACCTAACGACACATTTATCAGAACATTTCCCCATCATTAAGCAACACATGACTATACATCCAAGTTAATTGTCTGCTGGAATAAAAACCAACACACTTCAGAGGAATATAACAGAATTCAAAGTCTCTACAATGTATCATTCATAACATCCAGTATACATTTAAAAATGACCAGACATGTAATGAAACAGTAAAATGTGATCAAACTCAAGAAAAAGCTATTAATAGAAACCAATCCTGAGGTAAGATAAATGCTGCAACTGGCAGACAGGACTTCAAAGCATCCATTAAATATTATCAAGGAAGAGGAAAATGTGTCATAATGAATGAACAGATGGGAAATCTCAGCAGAGAAATATTAACTATCAAGTGGAAATTCTACAGTTTAAAAATACAATCAACTAGCTGAAACAAAACATGCATTGTATGGGCCTAATTGATAGGAGACAGCAGAAGAAAGAGTCAATGAACTCCAAAATAGATCAACAGAAATTATTCCATCCTAAGAATAGAGAGAACAAGAATGATAGAAAAATAAACAGGACTTCAGAGATCTATGGGATATCATCAAGTGCTGGATAATAGTGTAATTGGAGAAGAAAGAGAGGTTCAGAAAACGTAACTGCAGGAAATATTTCCCAAATATGAAAAATAGGAACTCAGATCCAGAGAGCTCAATAAACGCAAAGCAGGATAAATACTAAGAAAACCACACCTAGGTACATCATAGTCAAACTGCTGAAAACCAAAGACAAGAAGAAAATCTTGAAAGTTGCCAGAGAAAAACAATATATTACGATGTGTGTGTGTCAGGGGTAGGTTAACAATGAAACAAAAGAGGACTGAGGGCTGACATCTAACCAAAAACAATGGAGGACAGAAAACAATAAAACATCTTTAAAAGGCTGACAGAACTCTGGTGCTGTCAATCCAGAGCTCTCCGTGTTGGTTTGCAACCTCAGGAGTTTCCTGAG